AGCTTCTATGCTTACTAGAAACTTTCTGGCAATGACTCGGGATTCATTTTGGCAACAAAAGCACACATCTGTCTCTGTTGAACAAAAATGATACTCTGCACTAGCACTGCGTGAACTTCTGCTACAGGACAGTGATGGTCTTGAAGATACACAACTAGAATTCTCATCTGGTTCCTTAGCCCCACAATGATCACAAGCCAAGTCCTGTCTGCTAAAGTTCCTATCCCAACTAAACTCAGGGACAGCCATTTAAACTCAGGGATGTTATCACCATACTCTGGGGAACCCGTAAAGCCTAATTCTATAACCACAAAGGGCAGCTGACCTCCAATTCCTTAAGCCGTCAGGATATAAGCCTTGGACTACCAAAAGAACAAACAAGCCTATCTCGGAAGAAGTGCAACCAGTGTGCTCCTGAGAGGCAAGGATGGCAAAACTTTATCTCACAAGCTATGGACACGATGTCAGGAAGCATTAGTCCTTGGAAAAAAGACATCATGCTGAGAAAGAGCGAAAGAAAGGGAAAGGAAGGAAGACCTCAAAGAGACTGATTGAATGAATGACTGCAACAATGGGCTTGGGCGTGGTGGAGGCAGAGTTGCAGGACAGGGCAAGGTCCTGATCTGTTGTTCATGAGGTTACTATGAGTCATAGCTGACTTCTGCTTCCATGGGAGTTGACTGTAGATCAAAAAAAGTAAATCTTTGACGTCAATCTTTTCTCTATTTGTCATGATGTTGTGTGCTGGTCCAGTGTTGAGCAAATAATCCCAGAAGTTGGAGTACATGAAAAAGAGTCTGACATCAGAACTGAAGGAAGACTCATCAACAATCTGTATTATGCAAATGATATAACCTTGCTTGCAGGAAATGAAGAGGACTTTAAGCACTTAGAGAAGATGAAAGGTTTCAATATGAAATACATTTCAACGTAAAGAAAAGCTCTCACAAATGACTAAATTGTGGTGCTCATAAAGAGTACTGAACATAACAACATAGACTACCAAAGAACAAATGAAACGGTCTTGGAAATAATGCAACCAGGGTGCTCCTAGGAAGCAAGTAAAGTCTCTGAAGAAAATGTTTCAATATATCACAAAAAAGGGTCAATTAAACAAGTCAAAAAACCTTCTAGGTTAATGACTAGGAAGAACACATCACAAAGGTGTCAACTCCTCCGTAGGTCAATCTATTAACTGGACAAGATCACAATAAAAATTAACAAGATTTTTTTTTATTTTAATGAAAGTTTACAGAGACTTAGGATTTCCAGTCATCCATTGTTGCACTTTTCTCCCTCCCCAGTCCCTCCTCCCAAAAAAATTAACAATATTTTTAAATTAAACAAACTAGTTCTAACATTCGTATTTTTAAAAGGGGAGTCAATCCATCTCATTTAGGGTTTTCATCTCCTGCGCTGTCCCTCCACCCTGCCAAGCATGATACCATTTCCAGTGAGCCTTTGGGACACGTGCTGTTACACCTTCTTAATTCTGATCAATGAGTAAATATTACCTAGTAAAGTAAAAAATTTAATGATGCCTTCAAAAGTATGTAATACATGAGAAAAAAGATTATGCAATGTTAATAGAAAAAGAACCAAGAAACAAGGCTATATAAATAGTAAGACAAAGATTCTCACCACTGGGCCAATTGGTAGCACCATGATAGATGGAGAACAGACTGAAGTTGTTAACAATCTTGGCACCAGCAGTCAGGAAATCAAAAGATGAACTGCATTGGGGAAATCTGGTGCCAGGAACCTCTCCAAAGTACTGAGAAGCACCTGATCCAGGCCATGGTACTCACAATTACTTGCTATGCATCAGAGAGTTGGCCAATGACTAAGGATGACAGAAGAATTGATGCCTTCAAATTGGCATGTTGGAGAAGAGTCTTGAACATACCATGGACCATCAAGAAAACAAATAAATCTGCTTTAGAGAAGATGAAACCAAGTTTCTACTCAGAAGCTAAGATTCTGAAGCTCCATCTCAACATACTTTGGGAATGTGGCTTGGAGGAACCAGTCCTTGGAGAGGAACAGCATAGGAGAGGAAGATCCAGGAGGAGATGGATTGATCCAGTAACTGGGGTAATGAGGGTAGGTGTCAGAGTCGGTGAGACTGGTTCAGAATAAGGCTGGCTTCAGAGTTGCTGTACTTCAGAGTCCCTATGAGTCACAGGTGACTCCATGGCATGTAACAACTCTCAATCATCTTTTAATGCACTGTTATTTTGCTGAACGTCATCAAGTTGAAAATGTTTCATAGCACCCCTATGAAAAAGAGATCTGAGTTCTGTTCTATCCTGTGCCATCCTCACAATCAATCTCTGATATCCTTGAGCTCATTAATGCAGTCACTGTGTCAATACATTTTTTTTAGGTCTTCCTCTCTTTCACTGACCCTCCACCTTTCTAAGCAAGATGTCCTTCTCCTAACAACATGCCCAAAGTATATGAAACAAAGTTTCACTATCCTTGCCACCAAACAACACTCTGGTTGCACCTTCTCCAAGCCATATATGTTTGTTCTTTTGGCATTCCACGGGATACTCAGTACTTTTCTCTGACACCACAACTCAAAGGCATAAATCCTTCATCTCTTATCCTTTTTCACTGTCCAGCTCTCAGATGTATAACAGGTGACCAAAAAGGCCACAGTTTGAGTCAGGGTCCATGACAGTAGACTTTCCCAGTGTAGTATGTCTTTTGATTTCTTGACTGCAGGTACCAACAGTGTTGATAGTGGATTCAAGCAAGATGAAATCACTGACAACTTCAGTCTTTTCTCCAGCTATCATGATGCTGCCTATTTGGCCCAATGGTGAGGATAATTGTTTTCCTTATGTTGAAATGTAATCCACATTGAAGTCTGCAGTCTGATCTGCAAGTGTTTCAAGTCCTCCTCACTTTCAGCAATCAAGAGTGTGTCATCTGCATAACACAGGTTGCTGAAGTCTTCTTCCAATCCTTAAAGCACATCCTTCTTCATGAAGTCCAGTTGCTCAAGTTATTTGTTCATCATACAGACTGAATAAGTATGAAAAAAGGATACAGCCCTGATGCATAACTTTAATTTTAAACATGCATGCAGTATTAGAGGAAATCTGCCAAAACAATAGCAAAAGTTACGTCTACATAGTTGATTTATGTGCTGTTTTCTTCTTCTTTACCTTTTCTATCATTTAAAAAATTTAGTTAAGAAGTATGGATTAATTTTAAAATATAAAAGTAAGAAAAATGTCATAGAATTACAATCAGTTTAGTTATTAGCTGTTAGAGAGCGCAGTCTAGTGGTAAGGAATTGTACTGCCAAACCAAAAGTATGTCTGTGGTTCAAAACCACCAGACCCTCCATATGAGAAAGACAGGAAGTTTCCTCCCATGCAATTTACTGCCTCTGAAAACCCTCTGGTGGATCAACTATGCATAGGTTTTAATTCAACAGTGCACAACTACTACCCACCTGAACTTTAAAAACAAAGCAAAATCAACCTAGCTAAAATAATTAAAGCTTACAGATACTTCATTTAAAAAAAATGGATAACTATTTAAAAGAACATTTAACATAAACAACTATTAAGTTTGGTTTTCTGATGAGGGGTTTTTTTAACTTTCTACAAGTCGAATTGATGTCGTTGAGCTTTGTTGTTGGAGAAGAGTATTGAGGGTACCATAGACTGCTAAGAAAACAAACAGATTCATCTTGGAGAGGGTTAAACTGGGCTGCTCCTTGGAGCCAAAGATTCTGAGGCTAAGTCTGACATACTTTGATCATGTTATAAGAAGAGACCGGTCCTTGGAGAAGGACA